TAGCAGTGTGAGTAGTAATTGCCATGACCGGTTTCGAACCTACTAAAGTTCGTTATCAAATGGCTAAAAACTTAAAATTGATCAAAATCAAAGATTTTTAACTTAAAAAAGCTAAAAATCATTGAATTTCAATCGAAAGTCATTTAAATCATGAGGAAATTGTGAAACAGTCTTTACTCACTATATTGTTTATATTGAATGAAAAGGCGGACTAAATCAGGTGTTTTGTGAAAGGGAAGAGTTTGTAACTTTAGGTTGTTGCTTCATATCAGTGGATTGAAAATTGGAAGACTTTTAAGTTGTGGAACATTATCACTACGGTTTGATGGATAGTGCTTGACTGGTAATAGTTGTTTTTAATTGAGGTTATTTTATGAATGTTACGCATATATCTAAAAGTAAAATAAGTGTTAGAAGGCGTAAGCACATATGAATTTAATGTAAAAAGTGGCTAAGAGCTTTGAACGAATTGAATGAAATAAGATGTATTTTTGGAAGAAAGTTCAGGTGTATGTTGAGTTTTGAAGTTACTGCTACGAATCGTTCGTTGATGGTCGACGATCTGATAGATTGAATGATGTTGATAAACGGTAGTATTTTGCGTAGTTTGCATGTTCGATCATGTGTTGTCGACGTTGTTCGATAGCTTCATGCACACGTTTCTGATATTCAGATGTTGATGCCATATATCTATTTTGATGGAGAAACTTGTTCTGTTCTGTATGTATAATTGTTTGGATTTGCTCATGTTCTTTCTGGTGGATAAAGATAGCTTCTTGAATAATATCTTTCTTCGAAGTTACCAGTGTTTCAATGGTGTTCGATGAAGTATAAGCTGTTGTTGATTCCATTAAGGAATCATTGAGTTTTTGAATATTTGTGTTAATATTATTTATGATTTTATGAAGTAAATCAGATGTTGGTATTAATGTTGTAGATATAAGACGATGCTGTAACAAAGCAATATCTTCTTCTATTATCAATTGATCTTTTGTCGCTTTCCATATATGCCTTGCCCATGTGATCTGTAGCAAATTGAAATGATAGAGAAATATGATTTTATCGGACTAAATATTATAGTTGATATGCTCACATGTCTACTGTTTGGTTCAATATCAAAGAAATTTTGAAGTAATTGATGGTCAGTTGCGTTCAAAAGTAACATTTTTCTTTGATATTCGAATTTATCCTTTACAACTTGTTGTTTTTCTTGTACTAATTCATAAATAAGGGCGTTTAATTCTTTCAATACACTTAAACAATCACGATTTTGTTCACATTCTGATAAGATCTTTTGTTCAAACTGTGTAATGGCATCTTGTGCTTGTTTTAAATGTTTTTCGATTACTCTGATACGTTCTTCAATCACAGATTTCGATCTTCCGTATGTATGGCATATGGAATACTTTTCAGCAGATGTTTTAGACATCTGACCATGCCAGATACCTTGTGTCAAACCAAGATGAAGATAATATTTCCATTGAATTTGTTTGAGTTGTTGAAAACAAACTTGATCAATTAAACTAATATATTGGCGAATAAATTGGATTTTTTTATCTGCACTAAACAAATCATTAAACTTTGGCGAAAGATTGAAAGCTGGAGCTGTTCTTTGATATAATATCTCATTAGATATAATAGTATAATCAACAGAATCATTTCTTACAGATTCGAATTGATCCACTTGATGAATATTATTTTTATTGATAAAACCGGATTGTTTATTCGTATTGCATTTCTTCTTTTTTGTTATTTTATGCTGAACTGATTTAACAGAAAGAGAAGTTGCTTGATCAGTAGTTGAAGAAATTATTGTTTGTTCATTTCGTTGAATGTTTTCTTGTACTACTGATGATTCTGTATTAATTGAAGTATTCATACCTCGTTGACGAAGTTTTCGGCGATATCGTTGTAATTTTCGATTTCCATGACATTTCTTCTTCTTTTTCTTTTCATTTTGTTCTTGAGCACGTTCTAGTTCTTGTTCTATGGTTTGATGATGTTGATTTGCAAAACTTAAACTATGATCTTGATAAAACGGAATATTCATGCCACTTGAGCTATTGTTATCATTATTGATGTTCATTCCTATAACAGTATAATATTAATGATGAATAAATACATCTGAAATAATTGAAAATATATGACACTCATGAAGGGCTGAATTTAGCTGTTGTGCTCTGTATTCTAAGTGCCTATTGAACCTAGCAGCTGTCTGATTGTCGTCTGTTAGGAAATCATTTCTTACCTTGAAATTGTATATATTGATCTTGGTGGGCAGATTGAAGGTTTTTTTAATCTGCAATGGAGATTCAATGTATCTGTGATGATGGATGGCTTGGTATGGGTGTGGGTGTGGGTGAGTTTACAAATAAGAAAATAATTCAAAGCAATCATACGACGCGTTTCGAAAGAGTGATGATTAGGTTGTGTGAGATAAATTGCTGAGAACTGTAACGTTTTCGCTTTTATTAGATTTTGTTTTGAGACCGGTTTTTCTGGGATAGACTTGGTGTCGAAGGAGCGGGTGTATGGTACGAACGTTGTTTCTAGCCAAAAGGAAGGTTATATTTTCGTGGAAATGATCAGAAGGAGCGTTATGTGTGAAATAAATATGTTCGGTCGAAAGGCGGAGTGAAATTTACTGGTGGAGTTTATTCTTATTAAAGATGGATGGTAAACTATGTTTTTATTATGTGAAAGAGAAACGGAATAGTATAGATGGTATTGAAAAAAGGAAAAAAAGGAAAAAAGTATGATGATTACCGAGATTTGGATGCATAGTATGGGAATTGGGAAAATTTAAAGAAAATGGATGAAAGTGTAGTTTAATCTGGAGTGTTGTGGTTAGTGAGATGGGTGAAATGTTCAGGATATTGTCGGTTTTGGCTATTGTGTTTTCGGCATGCAATATTGTTTGGGTTTATCCTTTGTTGTTTGTTGGTTACATAATGTATTCTCTTTTGTTAATGTCAGTGTTATATGTTTTATGTGTCACGATGGTTGTTCGTTGTTACTTTCCATCGTTTGATGGTAATGGAGTTATGACTGAAAATGATTGATTTGCATTGTTTCTTCTTTTTGTAATATGTGTTCAACTTGTTCGATGTGATAGAATGATTCGGCTATATATTCATTTTATTGATATGGTGCCTCATGGTCTGTAGTGTGACGTAGTTGTTGTGTTTTTTGTCGAAATTGTCTCAGATTGTTTTCAATGATGGTAGCATGATGCTAGAATTATGATCGGAGATGGTTATTTGGCATTGTTGCCTCCTCTTCTAATATTTCTTGGACATGTTCAATCTGTTGCAATTGTTCCTCATTATCTTCATATTGTTGCAAATGTTCTTCTGTGTGTTGAACATATTGTAAAGAGGTTTGATTAATTTGAATCATGGTTTCATAAAAAAGAAGTCTTAATGTAATATTATTGTTTCGCATTATTTCTTCTTCTTCTAATATTTGTTGAGTGTATTCAATATTTTGTTCTTGTTCTAACTCATCTTGTATTAATTGTAAATATTCGAGAGCAGCAAAGCCTTCTAATTCATTGATCTGTTCTTGATCCCATCTTTCTCTTGGATCCATCGTTTCCCATTCATAAGCATTCAAAAGTGGCTCGTTGTATATTTCGTCCATAGGTTCTTCTAAAGGATCTAAATGATCCCAAGTAGTATCGCTACGCCAATGTGTGTTTCGTCGATATTGATGATTAGGTTGACGGAGTGCTTGGAGACGCTCTCGTCTTCGTTGGCGCTGCCGTTGACGTCGTCTTCGTCGTCCTTCTTGTCTCGTATTTAAAACAATATTATGTTGTACTTGAGGAATAACAGGTATTTGACTTAGAATCATGTTTCTCTCCGAGATTTCTACAGATGGATGACCAGTAGAGATAGTATTATTAGATATAAGTCGCACTATAGCATCTTGGCTGCTATTGTTTGATGATTGTGGTTCTAATGGAGTTTGACCGACTTGACTGCTGTTGATGCTCATGATAGAAGATGAATCTATTTAAAAGAAAAGACACAAGTTCCTATAAATAATGGATAGTGTAATATAGATTAAAATTAAAACTTAGATGAATACAACTGTGTCTATAATGAAATATTAGTTCTTTCTTAATGATAACGGTATGTCAGATGTATATGTACTAAATGAAATGTATACTAACATATGAGACATACACTCTCTAAATAGGAATAAACAAATTCTGTTTGATTGAAATATAAAGCGATGAAAATACAAGAAAAGATTATTAGTCTTTTATAGAATGTATAGAAAGACTATTGGATATCTCTTTGATGTTGCTGAAATATATATCCAATAGACAATATATGTTGAATGAGAAAATACTTACAATAAGGATATAAATCGAATCTTGAGATGTACAAGCGAATAAAATAGTGTTTTGTATATATCTAGAATAACAAAAGAAACATTATGAGTATACAAATGAGTAGAAGTAATGAATTAGTTTATTAATTATTGAAGAAGAAATTCTATTATGCTAATCGGGTGACATGATACAAAATAGAATTAATGTTAGAAGGAATTTAATTCAGTTTTGGATCCAATCTGGTTAGTAGTTCTTTTGATGGTTTCTTATGAATAAACCATTGTTCGAGTGTTCGATTTGAGTTCCCTATCATGCGAATAAAGACATTATTCAGATCATTCGCTCCGTATTTGAAATGTTTATTCCACCATTCATGGAATTGTTTTGGGAAGTGAGTAGTTAAACCGCTGTCATATTTATATCGTAGATACATGATGGATTTATTCCATGGTTTTTTTTGTAGAACTGTAGGGAACTGAATGGGATCTTTCGTCTTCATGTTCAGTTGTTTTTCACGTCGTGTACATTTATGAAGTAGATCATGATGTAATTGGCGATATATATTTTTGTCTAGTCGTTGTAAGACAGGAAGAGCGTTATTGTTTTCAAAAAATTTATTGAAATGATAACTAATAAATCTTGGTGGGTAGTGGTTTAGTAATAGGGACATATCAATACGAATACGTTCGGTATCAAAGTCTTCGACATTCGAACAAAGACGAGCTGCACGTAATAAAGCTGTATATGGTATATTGCGGTGAATATGACGTCGATGATCTGATGTATAAGGTAAAATATAGGGCGGTGCTGTTGGTTTATGATAGATTGATGTTCTTAAATGTCCATTTTCATTAATAACAATAACATCGAGAAAATTTACTAACGTAGCAATAACTGGTGTTATTTCAATATTAATGTCTTTTGTTTGAGCTTTTTGTAATTCCAACTGTACTTCGACAAGTGATTGATTCGTAGCGATAAAAATATCATCAATATATCTAAGTAAATAGAATGATACAGACAAAAATAAAATTGATTTATTTTTGAATAGATACATTACATACCTTCCATAAATACCATTATGTTGGTGTATATATGCAATTAATTCTTGTTCCCATTCGAACATATAGATATTAGTAGGGATGCACCAAATCCGAATATTCGAATTCGAGTGGATTCGGATTCGATTCGAAACGGATTCGAAAAGATTCGCATATGATGGATTCGAATTTCATCGAATCTTTCATTTCAGACCTCGAATTTGTATAAATGCGATTCTTGTTAGATTCGAACTTCCACGAATTCGAATCTATCTTGGTTAAGGTTCGAACCAGATTCGCTTCCAAATAGTTGTGAAAGGCCTGCTATCTTGAGCATTCACTGACGCAGCCTGTTCGTGAATCGAGCCACAGTGTCGAGCGAAACACCAGCGGCTAGCTCTAACTTTTCTCGCTTGTCAGTCGTTTCTATAGATCTCAGAATAGATGACAAAAGACGCCAAACTATCGTGAACAGTCGTATAAATGAACTATTTCATGATAAAACTTGCAGATGGCGCTGCTTCTCCTTCTGAAGACATGGTTGATTCGTTCTTTATTTCAACGGCATTCTCTGAATCCACTATTGGATAAAACCGAAAGAAAAGCAAAGATAACGAATAACGAGGAAGAACATGTCCGTCGATTGAATTGAACACAAACAGTTTCGCTATACCAGTATGCCTCCGAAACGAAAACGACCAATGGCAAGAACAACTCAGCAGAAGGACGAGCTTTCAAGCAGTTGCGACTCTGCTGAGCCATCACAAGTCGAGTCTATGAACGAATGTGAAAGAAGCACGTCCGAGGCGGACATGTCCATGGATTCAACCACGAGAATCAAGTCAAACGTCTGGCTTTATGCTCATCGACACCCAACATCCGATGGATGGGCTGTTTGTGACCTTTGCCCGTTGCTGCCCGCGCCGAAACTTATCTCAACGAAAGGTGGAGCGACAAGCACGCTACGAAAACATTTAGTCAAAGTTCACAACAAGGTGGAGCTTCAGCTTGCTCGGCCAACTGGATGTCCAGCTGACAAAGTTTCTCCAGTTCATCGTGCCCGACTACATCAACTGCTTATCAATGCCATCGTTGTCGATGGTCGCTGCTTCGGGGATTTTCGAAGGGCTGGTTTCTCTCGATTTCTCGAATGTGCTGTACCTGGTATGCCATGTTTACTGATAAACCCAATTCGATGCATCTTCTGTTCAGGATACGTTCCACCGCACTCGAACACAGTCCGCCGTTCACTGAAGCAGCTCTACAAAATTCACCGCGCCCGTCTCGTCGAGCGATTGCGTGGCGTCGAATGGATATCCATTACGTGCGATTTCTGGTCCAACCGTCTCGCTCAATCCTTCCTTGTGTTAACCGGCCACTATCTATCATCGACATTCGAGCTGAACAACGTCATACTCGACTTTGTTCATTTCGAGCAACGCCATCTTGCCGAAAACATTGCCGGCACAATTCAGTCGAAACTCGAGAAGCTCGGCATTTTGAACGCGGTATCATCAGTGACGTGTGATGGCGCATCGAATATGAAGAAGACATTCGACAAGCTTACAAACATCGATCGAATCTGGTGTTTGGCACATCGGCTGCATTTGATCGTCACCAACAGTCTCGGTTTTTGGCTGAAACTACCTGTCGTCGATGTTGAGGAAGAAACCATTGACAACGAACCTATCCTGGATGTCGTCGTCGACGACGAATCTGAATCAGCTGAAGAAGAATCGATCGATGAAGTGGACGACGATCCTGATACCGATGACACTGTCACCGACGATGATGAAGTCGAAGTGGTAATTAATTCCATCATGTTCAACTTTCGGCTAGCAAGCTCTATATACATGGTTGAAATTTGTCAAGATTCGCCTGCTCCATTTAGGTCGGCTCGCAGGCAGACGAGAGTGGTCGGGGCCCGTCGATGATGGTTGGGCCGAGGGCGTTGACACCGGTGCCATTCATGCATCAGAGGACCTGATTGTTATAAGTGAGCTCATGCGAAGATGTCGATCCTTGACAACTTCGATCAAGCGTTCGTCGGTAATCAAGTCTGCACTGGAAAAAGCATCCTCTCGATTGGGTATTCAACGAACACTGGTTATCGATGTATGCACGAGGTGGAATTCTACTTTACGCATGATCGAAAGCTTCATCGCTTTGAAACCAGTGGTAACGAAGCTCTTTGACGACATGCCTAGCATTGAACTGCCTCGAAAACAAATGGCAAAGCTGGAGAAACTCGAACTGACTTCCTCCGATTGGACATTATTAAAACTATTAGCTCAACTGCTCAAACCATTCGATCTGGCGACGAAGCTCCTTAGTTCTCAAACGTATCCGACAATTGGTCTTTGCGTATTCGCATTGCACCACATCAAGATGTTTCTCGAAGATACCGACGGCGATAGCGATCTGTCAAAGCGATTGAAACGCCACCTTCTGAAAACGATGACAAAGTACATCGACGATGAGAAAGAGCAGCTCCGAATCGTTCGAGTGAGTCTTTAAATCAAGAATAAACATTGGTTGTACATCTGTTTTTAGATGCGCAGCTACTTCGATCCAATGGGTTTCGCGGTTCTAGCTGATCGTGAGCGAACGATGATAGAAAGAGAACTGAAAAAAATTGTGAACAACGACGTCGATCGAAGCAACGAGTCGTCTACCGCTATTCCGCACACAGGTTCTGTCACAGTGCCGAAGGTATCTGTCTCGGTTGTCAGTGCATTCCTTCAATCTGTTGGCCACGACTCGAACACCACCAAGGACAAGCGCTCATCTCTTATCGATGAATTCAGACGCTATCGACTGCTCGC